AATGAGCAAAACAATCAACAACACTGTCCACCTGTGTTCACCTGTGCAGCTGAACACACCTGCCATTCTCAACAGCCCTTAGTGAGTTCTGAAGTGTATTCACACTGATCCTGAAATAATTATTTTAAGCCTTGTTTTTCAAACCTCCAAACTTCCTCAATTTTTTCCTTGTAATTGTTTTTCCTGATATATAAGCCAGATACTATAGCATCATTAAAAACAAAAACAAAAAACGAAGCTGTCTTAACTAATTTCATCTGCCTTTTTTATAATTTCTAATTTTAAATAGATTGTTTTCTATTTTCTCATAGGGACGCTACTATTTTGTTTTTTAGAATGTAAGAAAGTACTTAATTTGTTGAATTCAGTATTTTATTAATAAACATATTTAAGTCATTAATTTTCATGTAAGTATGACTTTCACTATGTTTCAAAGATTTCACATATTATATTTTTATTGTTGAAGACATTTTCTTAATTGTGTTAATGAATTTCGTTCTAGTGCTAATTGTTATTCATGAATGTGCTTCCAGAGTTAGGGCTTTTGCTACTCTATTTTTACTAGATTGTGATGGTGTTGCTCCTATGGATGTCACTGTTAGAATCCCCAGAAATGATCTTATCCACTCTCTAGAAAGATTGCCTTATCTCATGTGCATCTTCTAGCTTTCCACCTGCCTTTTGACACCTCTGTCTCCCATTCTCTTTGTAGATCCTGCCATGTCTACTCCTCTGTATTGGTAGGACATCTTCAGGGCTCCATCCAAGGCCAGCTTCTCTTTGACATCTACTGTTTTCACTGGGAAAACTCTTCTGGCTCTGTGGTTGCCTCACACTTCGTGTCAATAAACTAGATTTACCACCAGCCTATGTCTTATCTGAGCTCTGAAGCCCTATTTTTGGAACCCTGTTGGACACAGTACCTGTTGTCCAAATGTTTGTAGTGTGTCTAGGATCTTGGACCTCTGGGAAGATTATAAGAAACTGATCATTGATTGCAGATAAAAAGCTGCTTGCCTAAAGGGCCAGAATAGAAAGGAGCAAATTTTCACTTCACACTTTTAAACCTGACTTCTTTTGAAAATATTTCTCTCAAAAGCATAGTGTCTTAGTTTATGTAGCCACTTCTGCAGTGTTGAACATGTATTTTTTTCTATTTGTAATGCATACATATCTGTAATGAACATTATGCATATAACTTCTTCCAGGTTACTTCCATGGGACAGGTCCGCAAAGGTGGATTTTGCAGGTTAAACTTGAGTTATTACCCATTTTTATGCTGCAGTAGTAGATGATATTCCCAGCAGAGTGACTAGTTCCTTGACTTTTTCTAAATATGTTAACTGAAGACCAGAAAAGTGGTGCTTTGTTTGAGTGTGTATTTCTTGGATGATGCCTGGGGCTGGCTATTCATACAGCTCTGTCTCTGTAAAATCAGTCTCTGTGTACTCACCTATAAAGTATTGTTCCATGCTTTTACTCATTGATTTACTATGGTCTTTGTCTTTTGGTTGGCTTAATACGTGGTGTTTATTCAAGTAGGATATTCATCCCCTATCATATTTGTTTGTAACTTAGGTCTTTAGAAATGAGTGGAGTTTGCTCACCCCCCAAAAAAAAACCTCCAGCAAAAGAACACTTCATATACACAGAGCTAGCTAGCTTCAAACAAAGAACTGATGAAAAGGCATGCCTTCCCACATGGCTGGTGAATGGTCCATATAGAAGGTGCTAGAAGGACTGAAAGAGTGGACCAGAGTCTTTTAATAAACAATTTGACCCTGATCTCCAGACAGTGGAAAACAATGAGAGAATTCTGAACCGAGAAGTATAGTAGAATTTATTCACAGCTACACCAGAACTCAGAAATTTTGCACTGGTCCCCAAAGTGTATTTTCTTGTGGTAATTTAACCACCTCACTCTACAACCCTTCAGTTGTCATTGCTTCCTTTTGAAACAATTAAGCTCAGTTATTTCACTTACTTGTGGTGCTATATCAACAGCTCTTTCCCTCTAAGGCTCTCAGCCACTTGTCTTTGTAGGACAGGCTCAACACTTGAACTGTTTGTAGGAGCACTTGACAGTGTTGAGAGTGAAGATGACCTTTTTAAGCTTTTCCATGCCAGAATGTTTTTGTAAAGCCTTTCAAATGAGTAACAGCTTGGCTTGGCTTAGCAAGGCACGTATCAAATAGTGGGTAGTTTATTAACCTCAGGTGGCATGACTTAGGATTGAAAGATAATCACCTGAGTTCAGAGCCCAGTGCTGCCACACACTGAGTCAAATCTCTCTGAGTGACAGTGTGTGGGGCTTGAATAAGAAAAGGCATATCAGGTGCTCTACACCTCATGGTATTGTGCCCCAACTGTTAATGCTTTAGCCTTTTGGACTGTCACGTGAGGAGCAGCAGCCTTTCTCTTTAGGGGTTAAAAATGCGCATCTGAGCACATCTCTGTGTCCCATTCACTATCATCTACTTTGAGTTCTTTCTCCTTTAAATGTATTGTTTTCTCCAACCTTGGAGTTGGGGGTTGAAGTAAATGTCTTAGCATTATCCCCTAGTTGTTAAATCTTGGTGAGTCTTGTCAAGTTTTTACACTCAACTCTGGGACATTCCCTTTCATTATAATTAATTTCCTAAACAATTTGGTTTGTTCACCCTCAGTATTCGTGTTGTGTTCCTTTGCCTTATTCCGGGGCTATTTTTTTCTTATGTTATTTCTTACTAACTTACTTTGGCCTTAGCGTCCTGAGTGCTGGTATTAAAGGTATGCACCACTACACTCATCTAAAACTTGTGGTAATTTTTTACATTACAAAAATAAATGAAAAGGGAGGAAGGGGTAAAAACAGAATGAGGCAGGATTAAAATAACTGGTGGTTAGTCCTCCTACAAAGTGAGGGGCTATCTAGATTGTGCTGACCTTCCCCAAACTGATCATTTGAAGTTTAGGCACATTACTGGGAAAGAAATTGCCCCTGCAAAAGCATCTCTGTCGTTCTGAGCCAGTGAAGTATCTTTTCTTAGAAACAAACAAGAGAAGGACACCATCATGTTGTCGTTTCAAAGGTGTGTCTAGGTGTAGAGCTGAGATTTTTGACTCTGTGTGTGTGTGTGTGTGTGTGTGGTATTGAGGAAGGTGGCTCACAAATTCCACAGTGCATGTATGAAGGTCAGAGGGCAACATTGTGAAATTGGTTTTCTCTTTCCACTTTTATGTGAATTCCAGGACTCAAACTCAGATTGCCAGGCTTGAATGGCAAATACCTTTACCTACTGAGCCATCTCACCAGCTGGCTTTTGACATGTTGAATTCTGAGATATAGAGCTAAATTTCCTTAGGTAAGGCCTTGGAAAGCTGAGGAGTTTAAAAAAAAAAAGAAAAATGTAGAGCCAAATATTCTGAGCTCCACCTTGAGCTTAATTGATATAAATTATAGAGCACCTTGAGCAACTCTCCTCTTTTCTTAAACTTTGGGGGAAAAAAATTACATTTATTTCCATTCTGTGCAGTGCTCTTTTTTTATAAACGGAAGCTTTTCTCTGTCCTGCCCCGTCCTGCAGCCGCTTCCCAAATTATGACACAGAGGCTTATATTAATTATAAATGTTTGGCTGATGGCTCAGGCTTATTACTAATTATCTCTTATGTTTAAATTAACCCATTTCTATTAATCTACTATGCATTACCATATGGCCCATGGCTGACTGGTCCTTTGGCATCTTGCTCCTTGGGCAGCTGACTTTCATCTCTCCAAACTCTGCCCTTCCCCTTGTATCACCATTTGGATTTCCCTACCCAGCCTTATTCTGCCTGGCTATAAACCAAATCAGCTTTTATTATCAACCAGTGAGAGAACATACATTCACAATGTACAGAAGGGTCCTCCCATAGCACTTTTTCTTTTAGGTATTCTGAACCAGTTACCTGTTCTGGGGGAAAAAATCAGGGTATTGATGGCTACTATAGGCTGTGGTGTTCTTACACAAGCTTGTGATGAATTGTGAATGAAGAATTAAAATAATGGATGAGGGATGCAGGCAGAGCTCAGTAGTCAAGCACATGCTTTGCCTGATTTAGAGCACCAGCCACAAGAAAAACATGACACCTGGAAATCAATCTTGTTACAAATTCACCTTGTTACATGTGGATTGAAATATTAGAATTAAGCTAGGCAGTGATGGCGCATGACTTTAATCCCAGCACTCGGGAGGCAGAGGCAGGTGGATCTCTGAGTTTGCGGCCAGCCAGGTCTACAGAGCAAGTTCCAAGCCAGCTAGGACTACATGGAGAAACCCTGTTGTGAATACACACACACACCCCAAAAAAGAAAATTTATTAGAATTAAGCAAAGAATGGTGATACATGCATATAATCTCAACATTCCTGAGAAGGATTGCAAGTTCTAGGCCAGCCAGGCCTGCATAGCAAAACCCTGTCTCAAAAAGAAAAGCAGAATTAAAATATTTTATGCCTTTTCTATTTTCCTTATGCATAAAAAAGTAGATGCTTTGGAGGAGAAAGTTGGTGTGGTAAGGAACAGAGACACTGTGTCATAAAAGTACACCAGAGATGACCATGGGCCTGCTTACCCAGCTGTCATCTAATGAGCAGGAATTAGAAGGCTGATCACTGTCCTTGTAGATGCATATGAAATGCATCATTTGTCCTCAGAATTCATGATTGTCTCTGCACAGTAAAGGTTCAGTTATCCTGTTAATGGAGGGAAGCCAGACATGCATAACTCCAAAGAGCCAGTGATCAAAGGAGCATTTTAGCAACAATTTGCCGTTTGTATGTAACTTGTTTGGGATAGACTTATTTTCCTAAATCTGCTTGCTTAGCCATCCTAGAACAGACAAGCAAAGATCAAATTGGGTTATCTGTAGGAGAATATTTTACAGTTAATTCTAGAGAAAAAAAAAAAACTTTAAATTCATTCAAAAGCAGAACCTTATACCTGCTGACATCTTCTCTTTTTTTCTCTGAATTCATTAGAATGTATGCTGTCAGGAGGATAAGAGATGCCTTCCGAGAAAATAAGAATGTAAAGAATCCTGTAGAAATTCAAGCCCTGGTGAATAAAGCCAAAAGAGACCTTGAAATAATCCGTAGACAGGTAAGATGGGTTGGTGACAGACTGCTTTTCATTGTGCATATTCAGCTTTGACATTCCCTCCTTGATTGGACATCACTGCTTTGGTGTTTGTGATTTCCACTGCAGGATGGTGAGGCACTGTCCTCTTTTCTAGTGCAGACATGCCAGGATGAACTATCCTATCACCAGATTCAAGGACATCCTACAGGAGAATACCAGCTTTCCAGGACTTCCAGGGCCTGGTTCATCTAGGAAACAGAGCTCTCCTGTTTTACTAAAGTTGATGCCTTGAGTGTGAGAAACTGGGAACGGGGGGAACTGCTTTTTAATCCAAGTGTCTTTAGGATGTACATGGCTACATGACTTATATCAAAGCACAAATATATCCTCCTTTTTCTCGTTTTTCTCACCAGATTTTAAGATGAATAGAATGGGCTATAAGCATGACCTATGTTACCATGTGGAAGGCGTGTTTGCAGATACAGGGTACAGAACACATCTGTTGACATGCTGACCTGCAGTGGCCCCCGAGAGGTCTTTCTGATTTCATTGTGCTCAGTGTCAGGAGTCACCCTGACTCAGGCTTCTTGTTCTAGAGCTTTGTAAGGCGAGTCTCTCACACATGGAAGCATGTCTCCTGACTAGTGTGGTAGTGTGAAATATCCGTCTTCTGAAGTAATTGAAGTGTCAAAGACTGGTGTAGTCTTCTATTGATTGGCTTTCTGCCCTAAACTTCCCATTTCACTTTTCTTCAAATTGGCACAGCTCCATTTCTGTTTTTACCTCTTACTGCAAATTTGTTTATGCAGTGTGGAGGGGGCACATTTCCAAAGTTCTGTTGTATTCTGGAACGGGATTTGTGAGCCCCCTACTTAGGAGAGTCCTGCTTGGCCAACATTGCCTCTGATTCAGTATTTCCCTGGCTCTTTCCACAATTGTCTCAAAATAGAATTTAAACAAAAAAAAAGATATTTAAAAAACGAGATTTGCATTTTGTGTCAAGATTAAACCTGTTTCTGTTGCCTACATAATGGAGCACTCTCTTCAAGAGTAGCATCAAGCTGGGCAGTGGTGGCCCACACTTGGGAGGCAGAGCCTGGTGGATCTCTGTGAGTTTGAGGCCAGCCTAGTCTACAGAGCGAGATCCAGGACAGGCACCAAAAACTATACAGAGAAACTCTGTCTTGAAAAATAAAAAAAAAAAGAACAGCATTAAACTCTGATAATCCTCTGAGTCCCGCACTTGTCTAATCAGAATAATCGAGCCACATTTGGATGTGCCTAGGAAATGATTGACAGCTAAAGGCCTGAAAAAGTAATAAGGTCACCAGGAAAAGCCCAGTCTACACATTTATATATATAGGTGAGAACTACAGATACATATGTCACTTGGAAAACTCTAGTGAACTACAAATACATCTGGCACTTTCTAGTCTCTGGTGATTGGATCATTTCATGGGATCCTCTAGTGGTAGAATTTTGGAAGATAAGCAGCTTGAGTCTGTATATTATATAAATGCACAATGATTCGGGTCTTTGGCACTTTCTCTGTGCAGAAATTGGCAAGCATGATCAGAACACAAGCTCCATTGAAAAGGGGACCTATAAGTAATCTCTGCCACCATTTCTCATGTCTAATCTTTGTCTGTATTACCTCTTGGTTTGAAATGCTAAAAATATTCTCAAAAGATAAGCCAGGGCTGGGGTCATGGCTTAATGGTAGAACACTTGCCAACTGTGGGCAGAGCTCTTTAGTTCTAGCCCCAAAACTGCAAAGAGAAAACAAACCAAAATATAAAAAGACTAGACAGACTATGGCTCAGTCAACATTCCCAGTAAATTTACACTGAGAACAGGCTGGGACATCAGGAGAAATGGACTGTGAGCAAGGTGGTGATGCCCATCTCAGGACAGCCTGGTGACTGAACTTTCCTCCTGAAAGATGCCCATTGCCTTCTTCCAAGGTTTCCATGGTAACCTAGTAGAGCCACATGTTCCCATCTTAGAGAGGCCTGACTAAGGCAGCATACTCACTGCACTGGAAAACTTAGCCAGTTATACCTGAGCAAGCAGCTAATTCTATTTACTTCCCTTTCATGTCAAATCTTCCTGTATCCAAGTGCCACATTCACCACAGTAAAGTATTCACTGAGCCAACTTGCTACAAGCTGTCATAAGCTGGCCTTACAGCAAAGGCCTAAAGTAAGAGAGGAAACTAGATTGTCACACTATCTGTGCATTAGCCATTGTCACTGCTGTCTCAGTTTCCTTAGTGTGTCCCCTGGGTTCTATTCACACACTAGACCGGTCTTTTTCTGAAGAAAGGATCAGATTGAGTCACTGTCTTCCTGAACTCCCCCAGAGGCTTCAAAGAAGCAGCTTGACAATAAAACATGAAATTCTCAAGAGATCCTCAGAGGCCCTTCACTGCTCTCATCCCCGTCACCTTCACTGTTCACACCATTGCTGGTCCTGGTGCACAACCAGCCTTCACCCCCTCTTCCCAGAGGAATCCAGCCAGATTCCCAAGGTATGGTTTTCCTCTTTAACCATGCTGTTTAAAACAGCTATTTGCCCTTATTCCTCAGAGCACTTATCAATACCTTAAATATTAGTACTCAGAGCCTTATCTGTTTTGTCCCACCCCATGAGGACAGGATCTGACCTGTGTCATAGTCACTGCTTCCACAAGAGCCTATCTGCATTAAGTCCAGACTTGGCCTACCATGTGTATGACTGAACCTCTCAGTGCCTGGTGGCAAATACAAGTGGGGATAGTGGTGTTGTAGCAAGCATCAAATAAGGTAATTAATATATGAAAAGCCCCTGAAATGATAGTAGTGCATGGCAAGTATGTCCATTCTTTTTTGGTTTTTTTGTTTTGTTTTGGTTTGGTTTTTGGTTTTTCAAGACAGGGTTTCTCTGTGTAGTTTTGATGCCTGTCCTAGATCTCACTCTATATAGACCAGGCTGGCTCTGCCTTCTGAGTGCTGGGATTAAAGGCGCACACCACCACTACCTAAGTATGTCTATTCTTACCTACCATGTAAAGAACAGGCTCACATAGAACTGACTTCTAGTGTTTGTTAGCTAAATGAAAATGTGCAGTTTGTCCCGAGATCACCTCAGGCAAAGGATCTGTGCTATCAAAATGGTGATGTTTTCAACTTGGAACCCAAGATACCTAGAACTTACTTTTAGAAAGCCTGAATTGTGGAAGGATGGGAGAGAGCTCATGAACTGTGGTCGCTTTCCTATCAAGCCCTACTACTGGAGCTGGTGGACCTCACACACCCACAGGTTGTATACCAATTCAGTCACAGTTCCTCCCAGTTCTTTGAAACAGAAGCCAGGGCACCAACCCAGCTGTCAGATACACTGATTCTAAAGGCAGCACCCCAGCTGAAATTCCGCCTACCTTATATGATGTAACCTGCTACCCTACTTGCTAGTCGCCCTTCTTGTGGCAGCTTCTTCAGTCATCCTGGGGGTTATGAGGCCACCAAAGCCCAGTAAGATTTTGCAATTTTTAAAGAATTCTCCAAAACAAAAACGAAGGTTCCAGGACAGCTGAACCTTGTTTTTTCCAAGGACAAAGGGCCAAATGTGAGCTCATATCTTCTCAGTCTTTAGCAAGCTCAGAAATTCAAGGGCATTATTAGCTCTCGAGTCAGTAGAACCTAGTAGATAAAAGTCATATTGCCTTTTTTTTTTTTTTTGGTTTTTCGAGACAGGGTTTCTCTGTGTAGCTTTGCGCCTCTCCTGGAACTCACTTGGTAGCCCAGGCTGGCCTCGAACTCACAGAGATCCGCCTGGCTCTGCCTCCCGAGTGCTGGGATTAAAGGCGTGCGCCACCACCGCCCGGCCATATTGCCTTTTTGTTCCAAGAACGATAAGCATATCACTTACCTAGCTCAGCCTCTTCTCAGGTCATTCCCTCTTCCTCCACACTCTTCATGTGTAAGATATTGAATCTTCATTGTGGCAACCCTAAGGGATTCAAGGCAGCACCAGCATTTCTTAACCTTCACACAGCTGTAAGGATCATTCTCTTTTCATTAAGAAATGAGAATTATTTTTCTTTCATGGTGAACAAGTCAGCCTCTTGCTTCTTCTCCATAATTATGGCCCCACCTCTACTTGTTTTGTCCTTAACATCCTTGGGCCAGCATGCTCCCTGAAAATTGTGGTCTGGTGTGCCAGTCTCAAATCTCTTAGCTATATGCACTGTATCATATCTCAGGGCCAGCAAATACATTCCTCCACCTTCTGCTAAACTACCATTCTAGTCATATAAGATGACACTGGAAAGACACACTGGGCCAAGCAGTACATATTGGCTTCTCTACCAAAAGCAAATTCTGGAGTAGGCCTCACTAAACCATGTTTGCTTTTAGGGAAGGTTAGAAATGTTGGGTGAGATTTAGGGTATGCACCAGATAGGGCCAGGCAGTGAAGGTGGACTGTGGATGGGCCAGAGTGAGGAGATCATAGGAAGCCTGGGCAGCAAAGAATTACCCACAATTTCTACTTCAGGCAAGGAGCAAGAAAGTCAGCCAGATTCTATCTTGGGTCTTTCCATGCTAAAGGGATTCCAGAATTCCTTCTGGTACTACTTATAAGGCATTAACTGCCATTGCTATCACTTAATCATCCCAGTTGATTATGGTCTGCAGTTTGACACACTCATTGGTGGGTTTTCTTGCTTTTGTTGTTCGTTTTTTAGACAGCGTCTCACTATATAGCCCAGGCTAGCTTCAGACTCCCAGATGTTAAAATTATAGGTGTGTGCCACCACACCTAGCTGCCCCTTCTTCTTTTATGGGAACATAATATGGAGTACCTTGGTATGGGATATTACTTGCCTTATACTAGCCCTTGCTACTCTGGGTAGCAAAATAACTCCAGCATCTCTAGCACTTGGGGCCTTCTTTACTGTGGCAATCATGGAGAGCATGTGTTCACCAAAGAGGAAATAGTTTCTAAGTATTGTGAATTAAAGTTATGACCTTTATTCTATATCTGGGCAAGACAGAAGAAGAGACTGTTGGGAGTGGACACAGGGATGAGCAGTAAGCCAGGCTTAGGGGTCTATATTGATAATATTCATTTGGACACATGCATACGATCATGATTTCAGGAATTTCCAGCCAAGTCTTGAATGACGGCACCTCTGCTTGAAACTTAGAAAAATAAATTCATCTAAAAAATCATCCCATGGTTTCAGAAATGTTCACCTCAGTCCTAAGAACCTTAACACTTGTGCATGAAAGCCATGTGAAGGAAGCTTGAGTTCTTTTCTACCTATGTCATGCTAACAGGGGTCATTTCCAGCACCTGCATAGATGTTCACAACATATGTTAACTCCAGTGCCAGGGAATCTGATGCCCCCTTCTGGCCCATGTGGGCACCAGGCATGCACACAGTACAGACATAAATGCAGGAAAGACATCCATCAATGTAAAATAAAAATCTTTTTTTTTTTTTTTAATCCTACCCTGGCAACACTTTCCCCTATGCCTAGATAGATCAACTGAGATTAGCTCCAAGGATCGATCTTCACTTAAAAAGTGATAATAAAACAGTCAGCAGCAGAGGAGATGGCCACACTCTCTCTTGGACTTCAATAAATAGCCTCACAAATGCAGCATGAATTTATATACAGTGACCAGAATTGCACCCAAAATGAAACCTGTGTCTTTTGGATATATGGAGCTTTACGTATGAATGAAATATTCCTCAGTCCCCTGTTGAAGTTTAAGAAAACAGAGCAACAAGAAGGGTTGTTTCGTTTTATAGCTTGCCCTATATAGAACATTCCTTTTTTCCCCCGTTTGTTCAATATATAGCTGCTCTAAAGCTATAAAATATCTCTTCAGTGAAAATTTAGACTAATTTTCTGCCTCCCTGCTTTCTGTAGGAATTTCTGATTAAGCCTGAAGTCTGAGACAATGGTCTTCCCATTCAGCATTCCTGCAAAGGACATGCTTCTCATCTGATTGCAGGTTGCCTGTATGCTAGATTCCTCCAAAGTGGTCATATGTAAAACAAGATTGCCTTTCCAATCTAGAAGAAGTCTGCTTTCTTGTGCAGTGGTAGTTCATTAGCACATTCCATATAGAACTCTATATGGATGCATGTGCTGGTACTGTGTCTCGAAGACTTGGGCAGGAATTTTACTAGGGGATTTTTATAATGATGTCCATCCATCTGCCTCCCATGTAGTCACCAGAGCCATGTTTCCTGGTGTTCCATGAAGGACTGTCCTTGTGCAGGTGTATCCTGAAAGCAGTAGTCAGTGGTGACTATAGCAGACTCATAGGTAGGTGTAGCTAGAGTTTTCCTGCCTGGCCCACAGTCAGGACAAATCTCTCTCACCTGCCAGTCCCACAGCCATCAGACCCAACCAAGTAAACACAGACTTATATTGGTTACAAACTGTATGGCCGTGGCAGGCTTCTTGCTAACTGTTCTTATAGCTTAAATTAATCCATTTCTATTAATCTATACCTTGCCACGTGGCTTGTGGCTTACTGGTACTTTACATCTTCCTTGTCCTGATGGCGGCTGGCAGTGTCTCTCTCACCCAGCTTCCTGTTCTCTCAATTCTCCTCTCTGTTAGTCCCGCCTATACTTCCTGCTTGGCCACTGACCAATCAGTGATTTATTCATTGACCAATCAGCAACACATTTGACATACAGACCATCCCACAGCACTTCCCTTTTTCTTTTCTTAAAAAGGAAGATTTTAACCTTTACACATCTCCAAAGTCAGCTTGGTATATTTGGGAATTTGGGCGTAGCTTCTCTTACTACTTCCTGCTGGAGGGGGGCGCTGTATCTTCTGGGGAAACAAAGAAAATTTTAGGATCATGGAGTAGTCCGTGAGGCTGTATCGTCTGAGCCAGTTGCCTTGAAACCATTTTGGATGTTGGATCATCTGGGCCTTGGTGTCACCTTTCAGGGGGTCTTGGCTGGTCAAACCTGATGTATCTTAATCTGGAACAAATCCATAGCCTTTGGCTTTCTGTAGGAACAAAAGCAGAGTCTCCTTTCCAAAACAACATATCCTTATATCCAAATTTTGAAGTCAAGGTACCTTTAAAATATACATTTTGGCATAACTCAACAGCTTTTACAATCAAATGTTTTTCTGTAGTTAAAAATCCCAAAGACAACACAATCCAGATTCTCTGTGTAATATTCATCTTCACGTGGCTTATTTTTTATATTAATTTTACTGTCTCTTTAAAGACTTTATCTTTTAAAACTATGTATTTGTTTATATAACTCTATATCACCCTTTTTGTCTCTTTCAAGCCTACGTATCTTTTACACACATTGTAAACTATTACATCTGAATCTGTCTTATTGTGAATCTATTGCTTTAAGCTGCAGCAGCTGTGGCTGCTGGCTCCGCCCGCCTCAGCTTCCCAACATGGCGTGGTACTTTACCACCGGCTCTGGGAGCTATTGTGGGTCTATGCTTTTATCCAAGCAGCGTGTAGCCCAGAAACCTCTTTTTTTGTTTTGTACTAGCAAAGGCTAAATCTACCATGCAGCTTAATGTGCCACTTGCAGAGGCCTCATTCCCGCCATACTGCAGGTCGAGCGTGCAAGCTAGGAACCCACCAGTAGCTCAAACCGGCAGCTGCCGCTCACTTGAAAGAGACAATTAGGAACTGTTTTTAGCTCCGTTTTAGAATCTTTTTTCTCAGGTTTTAGGTGGAAACTCTTGCCACCACATTGGACGCCATTTGTAGCTAGAGTTTTCCTGCCTGGCCCACAGTCAGGACAAATCTCTCTCACCTGCCAGTCCCACAGCCATCAGACCCAACCAAGTAAACACAGACATCAGGATAACTATGCCTGTTTCATAAGGCATAGTTTATGCAGCTTAATTTAATTACAGCTTAAATTAATCCATTTCCATTAATCTATACCTTGCCACATGGCTCATGGCTTACCGGCATCTTTACATGCTGTTTCTCATCATGGCGGCTGGCAGTGTCTCTCTGACTCAGCCTTCCACTTCCCAGCTTTATTCTCCTCCTTGTCCTGCCTACAGGTAGGAATCTCAGCTGAGTCATGTACTTTAGGATCTGGAGCAAGTTGCTTGTCTACCACTTTACTTCATCCATGGAGTGACAGGGTCGTGTTGAAAGATGGTGGTGGGGTGTGTCTGCGGTGCTTCCTTGTGCCACTCTATGCACAGACACCACACAGCTCTTGGGGTACATTGTCTTGGCTTCTCATTAAGTCTTATGAAACAGGCATAGTTATCCTGATGTCTAAGAGGAAAGGTGACTTTTTAGGAGAAAGGGACCCACACATCCATACCATTCTCACTTCTAAGCCAGCCCTCAGGAAGACTCACACTTTAGGTGGCCTTCTCTTTAAAAAAAATAATAATAATAATTTATTACTTTTTCATACAATATATCCCAGCTGCAGCCTCCCTTCCTTCCCTCCTCTTGTCCTCCCTTTTTCCCTGCCTCAGATCCACTGCTCTTCTGTTTCCCTTCAGAAAAGAGCAGGCCTCCCAATAATATCAACTGAACTAGGGCTAAAATATGTATCAACAGCCTCTGGAAACGGCAAAGCTATTGATTAGTGAATAGTGCCACCATAACTAACCCACACTCATTTTCCATCCCACTCGGGCTGAGGATGTGACCATTTCCTCTCAGTTCATGGCCCTGTAGCTCCATAGGGTACAGATGACATAAACACACAGACCATCACCTTTAATTTACTCACCTTTACAGAGGAAGGACAGTATTTTGTAAACTCATTCATGCCTGAAAATACAGGAAGATACACTAAGTGATGCTTTTCCTAGGTGCTTTGTTTACATAGACTTGATTGGTTTTTTTATTGAAATTTCCCAAGCAGAAGCTGAATGAGAGCCCTGAAAGGTGAAATCTGATTATAGCTGTTCAGGGACTACAGAGATAGAGGGGTTCTCTCTCCCCATGTGCCAGTCCTACGGCATTGAACATGTCACCTATGGTGACCCTTCCTGTAGGACCTCACCATTTTACAGGTAAACGAACAGGTTTGGAAATCATCTCAGAGAGAAAGTGCTTGAGCTATATATCAGTGAAGGTCAAGACCAAGATTTAAGCTGAGGCTTCTGTCACCATTCCATCAAAGTAGCATCCTTCAGTTGCTTTAAGGGTTTTATTGTTCTATACTGTTGTGCTGTACTGTGCTGTATTGGAACTGTACATATTGGGCAAACTCAATCACTAATATACATTTCAGAACTTTTAATTCCATTTTAATAGAATTTTATAAAAACATAGGGTCCAATATACTTTTATAATCTTGTGTAAATAAATCCGTAACACCAAGAGTCATGCTTTGAGGGAGGTACCCAAAGCCCTACGACTTTTCACTGTTCCTTCTCTATGGTGGTATTGTGTTCCCCAGAATATTGTACATGCTAATAAACTTATCTGGGGTCACAGAACAGAGCAGCCACAATATTAAATAGAGGATAGTCAGTGGTAGCACATGACTTTAATCCTAGCATTCCAGAGGCAGAAATCCCTCTGGATCTCTGTGAGTTCAAGGCCACATTGGAAACAACCAGGCATGATGACTCACACCTTTAATTCCAGAAAGTGAGCCTTTAATCCCAGGGAGTGATAGCAGAAAGCAGAAAGATATATAAGGCTTGAAGACCTGAAACTAGAAGCATTTGGCTGGTTAAGCTTTCAGGCTTTCGAGCAGCAGTTCAACTGAGATCCATTTGGATGAGGACTCAGAGGCATCCAGTCTGAGGAAACAGGATCAGCTGAGGAATTGGCAAGGTGAGGTAGCTGTGGCTTGTTCTGCTTCTCTGATCTTCCAGCATTCACCCCAATAACTGGCCTCAGGTTTGATTTTATTAATAAGAACTTTTAAGATTCGTGCTACACTTCTCTATGTCCTTGGGACTTGGGAGGACAGAAGAAATTAGATGCACCCACTTCAAGTACTTGGAGTGCTAAGAAGTGCTCAGAAGGTCACTCACTCCCAATGGTATGAGAAAGATGATTCTCTTTGGAGAAATAAACAAATGAAAGAGGTAAGCCAGGCAAGATTCAGAGCTGAACAAAAGGCTACCAAGAGGATCATGTCTGACCAATGAAGTGACCCAATTAATGTAAATGCAAGTCCTACTTTCCAGAGGACTAGGTAGTGGCTAGCTTGTCTTGATCATGGGACAACCATACAAAATCTTTGGATCTCCAAACTTAAACCTTTGTTTCAGCGATGTTGTTATCCTTCCTTTTATGCTTTTATAGTGATTCAGACTCTGTTCAGGTTTTAGAGATTTAAATAAAAGAAATTCTAACTGAAATTTTCATGTGCTACTTAGTAGGATAGAGTACACTAGACTGAGAGTTTGTTGCATGGGTGAGTCAGTTCAGATTCTTGCTGATAGCAACTGAAGACTTAAACATGGTCCAAGTCTTAGAGAATCTGAAGATTTTTTTTTTCCAAACATGAAAGAACATGAATCTCTCCCATGCATTTGCACTCCCAGGGCCTGTTAGGCATATGGGACTAGGGCTTGGCCTTCTTCATGCTCCTGTTTTTCCATGATGGGAACAAGAAGCTAACTGAAGACTAGCACAATCTATATCAAATGCCTCCTCTTCTCAGAGGAGGTCTCACGAAGACCAAGGTTATCTGGTCTTTAATGAGAACTTCAAAGACAGGACTCTTCACCTTGCACTGACAGTTCCCAACCTTGACATTAGAGTCATGTGTGATACTTTGACAAATCCCAATAACCTTGTCATTCTGGAGCAGTTGCATTTGAACTTCTAAGAGTGAAACTGAAGCATCAGCATTTTGGAAGCTCTTCAGGAGATTGGGGGGTACAGCCACTGTTGGGAAACTGATATCTCTCACTAAGCCTAGAAGGGACCCTGCCTACCTGGAGTCATCTTGTTAGCACTACTTTCCAAAGAACTAGGCAATAAGCAAGTTGCTTTGATGTGATATCATCCTTGATTTCTGGATATCCAAACTAAACCTTATATTCCAGGGTTTCTTTATCCTGTGACACTTTTACAGTAGTTCAGGCTCTGTTTAAGCTTTAGAGTTTAAATAAACTCACTGTAACTAAGAATCTCTGTGCTTTTTTGCTCAGTAGGATAAAGTACACATTTCTTATGACATTCTTTGGAATTGAGGATGATATTATGAGATAGTGTTCTTTTTATTAAATTTTTATTGATTTATTTTGCATCTATCTATATATGCCACAGCATGCATAGGAAGATCAAGAGGGGAACTTGAGAGAGTCACTTCTCTCCTATCATGTGGGTCTTGGAATCTAACTTAAGATACCCAGCTTGGTGGTAGGCACCTTCATCTGCTGAGCCATCTTGACAGCCCACAAGACAGTATTAACAGCCTAGCAGAGTAAATTTAATTTCAGAAGAATAGTGGAGACATGTCTTCAAGATTGGAACATTCATCCCAGGGAGAACTTTAAGTTTGATGAGAGAGTATTCTTTTCTACATAGAAGTTGTAGTTTTTCCATCTTGCACATCTGTGAATGGACTGTGGTTCATCAACCAAGAAAATGTCTTACATACTTTCCTACAGGCAGTCTGATGCAAACTTTTTTCCTCACTTGAGATTCCTCTTCACAGATAACTCTAGTTTGTTGACAAAATAAAAAGGAGAAGGGAGGGAGGGACAGAGGGAGAGAAGGAAAGAGGGAGGGAAAAGCAAAGCCAACCAGGGCTTTGCCTGGAGTTTATGCTTGTGACTTTCACATAATACATTTTCAGGGTCAATCTATGTTGTAGCATCTTTCATTACTTTATTCCACTTTGTTGCTGGTCGGACTCCACTGTGTGAATACACTTCTGTAAATTTAGTTACTCTTCAGTTATCAGTGAACATTTTGTTGCTCCTTTTTTTTTCCTCTTAAACATCTTTGTACAAGTTTCCAGAAGCTATTTCCAACCATATACTTTCATTTCTTTTCAGTAAATACCTAAGAGTGGACTATTCAGGATTTTACTCTGTGAGGAACTGCCATGCTATTCTCTAGAGTGTCTACACCACTGTGTATTGCCATCAGCAGTGTTCAAGGATTCTGATTTTGCCACATTATAAATAAGCACTCATTAATACCTATAGTTTGTATTGTAGTTTATACCCTTCTATGTATGAGGTGGCATGATGTATAGAATAATGTATACATTTATTACAATAAACATGGTTTTGACTTAGGTTGACTTTGAGACATCTAAGGAAGGCTAAAATAGGACACAGGGTACAACATAACCTTGGCCCTGACCTTCTTGGTATCTAAACTCCACTCTGAAATTAAAGCCCGTTGCTAACTTTACAGTGCTTAAAAGAGAAAATGTGACTGGGGTTATTGGGAAATCCCATGGCATGACTCATCTTGCAGTACTAGATGAGAATCCTGCTTTTCAATCTCATGTAGCCCTTCCCTGGTACTGATGAAAGAGGACGTTCTTCTCAGATGGACAAGACAGTACCTTTTTATACTGCTTCATGGAGTTTTAGAATGTATCAATCGATATGTATATATGGTTTTTGGAAAGCCACCTGCTTCCCTGTACAAATTCAACTGCTACTACAAAGACATAGACCTCCTTATTGCTAATCCAGTTAGATTTTGAATCCTACTTATTCTATCTAACTGGTAACATTGACTAAATCTCCTCTTTGGAACTTCATCTTTAGCTCTCTTCACTCCAGTTTCCTTGCCTGCTTTATCCTGAATCCCTAGTGTGTGCTGGTTTTCTCTGAGCAGGTCTGCAGTTGAAGTTCTGATAGAGCTTCCTCTTGACTCCCTGCTTATCTGTTTGAATAATCTCGCTTTTAATGTGAAAACATTGTTTCCTGGCAGCCTAATTTCTCCACATTGGTGGTGACTAGATGTGTATTGATGGGCATTACTCTCTAACTGCTGCTGTCAGAGCTCTTTGGGAAGCTCGTCAATCTTGTGCTTTTTTAATTGACATCAATAATATGTTTGCATTTATCAATATTTCCTAATTACCAGGTTATAACAGTGAAATGTCTATAATAAATCATATGTACAGATAACTTCAGACATTAGGGCTTTAGATTCCTGCCAATATTTGGTGTGTTGTAAGTTGTTTTTCTGAGGAATATTTTGCATGTGAAAGGAACTGTGCAGCAAGACAGAAAACTGAACCCATGTTGCCAAAGGGCTATAAGTTAAAGATCCAGTCATGCCAATTTAAATAACTGTCTCCAGAGCACCACAGTCCATTCCACGAAGTTCAGTCTCTTGCCCTGATGAATGCAAATGTATCTCCCCTGAGAGTGACGAACTCTGCTGAGGGAGTAAACTAGAGTGTCAGATGGGGAGGAAGCTAAGCGGGCCCTGTTTGCTTAAATGGCTTGCCCAGAGTCAGTGACTTTACAGAACTGGGTTCAAATTGGGCCCATCAGAGTAGACTTGTGATCCTTTAAGACAAGCTTAACGAAATCCAAGAGATCATTCAGGTATCAGATCAATCCGTGTTGCTGTTGAGGACATAAGGCTCAGTTCTAATTCTAATCGAGAGCCCGTGCAAGAGTTGAGCATTGCCTTTTGTAGTCATGTCTCTTTAGTCTTAACATGGAATTCTTCTGCAATCTTTTATCACCGTTCATGACACAGACATAGGTAGCCCAGAATGTTCTCCTGTCTGAGTTTGTCAGGTTGTTCTCTAGTGACACTCTCAAAATTAGACCCTTGTCAAGAAGGCTGCATAGGTAATATGCTATTCTTCCCATTGCTTTATATCAGGAAACTTATAATGTCCTCTGTACTATTATTGCTTCACACTTAACTTGGTCATTTGTAAGAATGGATTTAACCAGATATTTCCATTGTAAAAATCCTGTTTCTCTGTAATTACTAATCTTTTTATTTTTAATAAATAAATCCCCAACGGCTTTTCATCCTGTGCTTTTTCATTAATGTACCGTGTCTGAGTCGGTTCTTACATTAGTGCCTCCAAAATGGTGATGTTTCTCATTCTCTTATCACCAACTTCTGCATAGCAAAGTGGGCCCACTTTTAACAAGAATAACTCCTGACTTAGAATCAGTTGCATTCCTCAGCCTGTTTTACTCCTCATTCATGGTTGAACAGACTCATGATGTGACCCATTCTGAAGCCTGACCTAGGAGTTGGTGTTCCACTGTTCCTTCTCAGGGGCTGAAGGTCAGTCTGTGTCAAGAGGACTTTCCTTCCCTGAGCTGCCTACGATACCACTGAACCTGCTTGCAGCACTAACTTGCCCAGAACAAGAACTAATTCTCCACTCAATCCCTGTGTGAAGATAACCTGCGTGCTGGGCTTACCACAGCTATGTTTATCTAACATAAGGTGAACATTTTTCATATGACTCAATTTCCTTTTGACTCATGGTTTTTAATGGTTTCCAGTATTTTATTTTTTAGCTTCCCATGATTTGTTTATTCTATCCCTCAAATGTTGAATATTTATTTAGTTTCTGATTTTTTTCTAATTATAATACTGCCATAAATATCTTCATGTATGACCCTGATAGCTTTTGTAGGACAAATGTATATCATTAAAAGGACTGGACTGTGTGATTACCATATTCTTTAAGTATATGAGGCAACTTTTTAATATAACACCTTATATAGAATAAGTCATTGCACTTTTCTCAGAAATAGCTACACGTGTATGAAGAGGTGATGTTTTGCATACCTTACTGGGGGTTCTTGAAGAAATGGGCTCAGGTTCAGAACTTTTGCTTTTCAAGATTAGGATCTGAAAACTCCCCAACACCACATACACTGCCTCTGGAGCTTCCTTAGACTCACTTGGTTTAACACATTCTGTAGCTCTGAACAATAGATTTAATTCTAATTAACTAGTAATGAGGCTGTTCGGAGCTTTTCTTGCTCTGTTGGTAAAAAAAAATATTACAATTGGCATCTGTCAGATTGTCATTTCTGAAGACTTGAAATGTTTTCTATTGGTAATTGATTGTATGTTGTCATTTGTAATGCTGAGGATACAGTGAGTCCCTTGCCTCTTATAATCGTTTGCTGCCTATTTGTGCTCTGTGTTGGGTAGTGTAGGGTAATGGCAGTTTTCACAATGCACACTGGACTGCTATTTCCCTTACCAGAGTTGCATCAAACCACTTACTCTAATTCAATTTATTTATAATTTGGAAAACTGATTATAGAATCTTAGACTGGTAATTCAAACTACTGCTACATTCTTTCCACTTAAGAGGCCATGGTAACTAAGACACAGGAACACGGTGGGAACTAGGTTGCCAACACTCGTTCTTCTTTCAGTAGAGACACGTTACCAGTAAATTTCATGAGGGCGGAGATCATGCTTTTGAGGTCTCTGAAACAAGTACTGTTCTTCCACCTTGCCTCTAAAACACACACACTGTAACATGAGTTGTCTGCACTTGTCTTTCCAAGTACTCATTTCTGGACAACAGACATAGAACAGAGATGTCTAAATGTACTGTCCCAGGAAAGAGTCTATAAGCCAAAATGCTTCCCAGATATCAGAGGGAAGATCTGTTTAAGATTCTGGTTCCTAGAGTTCAGTGTTGTACATCACATAAAAGACAGTTGCATTATATCCTGAGTATGTGTGTTTGTATGTTGCTGCATTTGATAGAGATGATTTTAATCACATACATAGCATCCCATTACATTTTCCGTATCATAGCCTATTAGAGCCATCATATTCAATTTTTTCCTCATTAAAGCATTTAGAACAAATACTACTATAGAATACCACATGAATTTTCTTCTGTATAGGTTTTTTTCTAAGGTAGAGTTATATTGAGCTAAAACTTATCTGTATATAAAGAAAGCATTTTTAATCACAGCTTTTTTTTTTTAAGTTTAGCCTCCTTGCTCAAGCCAAATTGTGTTTTAAAAACAAAATTTTAAGCCTCAAATGCTTTGAGCCTGCTAAGGAATTTACAGATACAGCAATACTGTCTATTCTACATGCTTAGTGTAATACTTTATTATTCCAGAGTAAACTCAGACTCAATTCTAGCAACATCTTATAAAAAAAATTAAAGTGAGGAAAAGATAATTTCTTTGTGTGTGGTTAAGGCAAATTAGAAAGCATGAGACTGAACTCATCTAGTTGAGTCATTAAATCACAGGAGAAACTTGAAAGAGTTCCATAAACGCTCTTTGTTCATTTATTAAATAGAGATGTCCATATTAATCTACTTTGCTATACCAGTAAAGGAATTCTTTGGATCAGATCAACTTTTGTTGTTGACTTATGTTTGGGGATAGCAGGGGTAAAAGCATGTGTTGGCATGTTTTCACAGGTGACTTAACTATCTTTGTTTTTCCTTTTCTGGCTTTTTAATTGTTCATACAGATATTGCAGGTAACTCATAAGGGTAGGCCCCATGCCCAGCAGTCAATAGCCAACACAAAATAAACTCAGTGGCATCTTTGGGGGTTGTCTCATAATGCTGTGACAGGGCAATTTTTTTTAATCTTACCAGTCCTTTGTGTATATATTTATGGCTTCCAGTTTTGTATTTTTATGACATTTCTGTGTGTGCAGATGTGTTTCTTGTGCTTTTTCTTTGGCTCTTTTTCTTATATTTGTTTTATCCTATTCTGATTTGTTTGTTTGGCTTATTTTATTATTATTCCTTAAGTATTTGTTTGTTTTCTAAGTAGAGACAGAAAGGATGTGGATCTGGATGGGAGAAGAAAAAGGGAGGAACTGGGAAGAGTTAGGGGAGGGGGAACCATAATCAGAATATATTTAATCAGACTATATTGTGTGAAAAAAAAAATCTACTTTCAATAAAAGAAAACCTGTCATAAAAAAGAAAGTCATAATAATCACAGAATTGGGCTGGAGAGATGGCTCAGAGGTTAAGAGCACTAGCTGAGCTTCCAGAGGTCATGAGTTCAATTCCCAGAAACCACATGGTGGCTCACAACCATCCATAATGAGATCTGGTGCCCTCTTCTGACCTGCAGGTGTATATGCAGACAGAACACTGTATACATAATAAATAAATAAATCTTTAAAAAAAAAAATAATCAACAGAATTTAATAAGTGGCTCTTTGCTTTGTCCCAGCTACCATGTGGAGTATTATAGACCTTCATGGTTCCTAATGCCTAAGATACAAGAATCATGCATGTCAGAATTAAGGGGATTGGTGCCTTTATTGATCTTCTCATACTATTATGGTTTGAATACAAACTCCCTACCACATAGTTTTCAACACGTGTTGTCAGCAACGAGGGACTAAGGAGGCTCAAAGGATGGAAGTTCAAAGTTCAGTTAGAGGTGTGGGTGAGGACTTGTCCAGACTTGCACAGCTCCAGTGTTCTGTAGTGTTATATTCATGGGTTATATTCAATAAATTTTATTTATTTACCAATTTCTGGAATTACCTTATAATTTTTATTAAGAAGCAATTCTTTACATTCAGAACCCAGAACAATACCTGATCTGCATGCAGTAGTTACTCAGAAAGGGTTTGTAGTGTATAAGTGAACATTAGAAAGCAGGATCTGCCAGCAAACCAGTTTACTCGTCCTCAATCCAGAAGCAGGAACTTGGAGCTCTTTGTACCCTGGTTTTATTTTCTGTAGAGAATAGGATCCATTTTCTAAATACCAAAGGCTTAAATTAGTCTATTGAAATGTTAATAAAATTTATCTGTATTAAGTGTGAACAAATCTTTTTTGTGTTTGTATTATTTTTAATAGCATTTCCACAGAGAATTCTAACCTTGTAGACACATGGCTGTTATAGGTTCCATCTGAGCACCCAGTATTTAGGAACTATTACCTTCCAAGAAGGACAAAAAAAGAATACTTTTTTCCTTGGAAAAATAAAAAAAGTTCTTGTGAGGGCGACTACTTGATTGTAGTAAAGTTCTTTATTGTGAGATCTCAGTGCACACTATCTGTACCTTACTTTTGATTTCTACTTTTGATTTATTTGTTATGACACAGCATCTACAATGTAGACAATTGTGGATAGTTATGTTTAGTATGTTTAAGGGTATGTAACTCACTTGTAGAATGCTTTCCTAGCATGTAGACGACTTAGGTTCAGTCCCTATTTCCTCAGTAAAAGAAAACATATAAAAATGTCTTTAATGAAAGTAATTTGAAAGATAGAAAAATGGAAAGATTGCCCCTTGGTCCCTTACACAGAAGTTTTGAAGCACAAGAAAAAGATACAACCCTTGATCCTTATTTATAATTGGCAGATATAAATTGTATGTTTTCAGTGTGGAGTGTGATTCATTGCTTTATATGTGTTGTAAGATGATTTTATCAATCTAGCTACCATGCCTATCACTTTTCAGCCTTATTGCATGTATCTGAGTGATCCGTGCATTTGAGGTCTGCTCTCTCAGCAGTTGTTCAGTGTACAGAGCACTACCACTGACAGCAGTCCCTGTGGTACATAGTGGATTCTAGCAGGAGCTAGATTCAGCGGCCTAGTTAGCTGTCACAGTCTGTGTCCTCCTTTTGGTTACTTTAGCCCTGTCCCCAAAAGATGAGAAATGACCACCTCTACACCAATACTTATTTCCTGGATCTAAGAAGAGGGAGGAGAGTACAGTAGTAGATAAATGAGATTGTTGTGGTACTGCAAATAGGAGATTCTGTATGACACATCAGAATTAGTTAATAATAACTTTATTCTCCAGATTTTTTTTTTTTTTTTTGCCAAATAGAATCTCAGAATTATTGTATTGGTGCGCAGTCCCTTTAGGAAGGACAACCTTACTTACTATAATAACTATCATTTATTGAATTGCCAGATGCTACTGCTGTTTTCACTGACCAGAGATGAATACAAACAATGTTTACCTTTTTAGGCTGCAGAATTAGACATTAAGTATAGAAGATGTTTTGACTCAGCAGCAAATAGAAGATGTGATG